CCATCCAGCGATTTACTAGTATTCACGAAGTATCTAGAGAAGTGAAATCTTCAACAAAATGTAAATCCTGTTAAAACAATTTTTATTTGCATTTCAAAACATGTATTTATACTTATAGCATTGCTTGAAGCCTATCGAATATATTAAAGGTCATTCCGGGCATGAAATACACTTCCTCGGCACGGTTACCTACGTAGGTTCTTATAGGTAAGTACAAACATATGTGTATGTGTGTGTATATACGTGCGTGTCTGTATGCATGACGTGTTTTGTGGGAGTCGTATTTAATACCGTGACTTCAACAAATCACTTAAGCTTCGAGTCTTCTGTTAAATGCAATTCATTTGGCAGTGACCTAATTAATGCCTTATTATTTTTAATAATAATTATCATTACTAACACAATGCATTAAGTGTATTATTCAAGAAGCTGTACAAAAAACCCGTTGCGGTCTTGGAAGTATATCCATATACAAGCTTTCTCACAAAAAAAGAGAGCTGTTCTTAAAAAGAAAAGAGGAATCCCAAGTTCTTATAAGAACTCGGCGATTCTAGAACACAGATTCAGCGAAGAATACCTATTCAAGACCGTAATAGGTTGATATATATATATATATATATAATTTATATTTATAAAAGTATATAATTAGTATATCGACTCATAATCTAATATTACAGCACCATGACGTTCATTCCAGGGAATTACTCACTATACAGGCTCTTGGCAAACGCCTAGCATCCTCACAATCTATGACACTTATGAGGCAGAAACAAGAGAAATCTAATACGTAAATAAAATTCTCATAAAAAAAATATATATATAATATGTATATAATGCTGACTGACAACTATAAATAGCAATTATATAAATTGATTTGTTCCTACGATTACTATCAATCAATAGAAGAAATGACTTTTTTTTTCTATATGTGCACAGATTTGGTGAAAAGGGGACTAATGTTTCGTGTGGTGCAGATTATTGTGGTGATGTGGCCTCGACCGTGGCGTTCTAACTTGTACGTTGCGTGATCTTAATCGACTGTGTGTAGTGCTCATTCTCGCCCTGAAAACAATTGGTTACAATTAGGATTCGGAGATCATTCCAGACGGATTGCACGGGGTTAGTGTCTCAATTATGAACTTGAAGATCCTCCTAGGAGATGTGGTGTTAATTTGATTAAAAATCATCCACTGTCTCACATTATTATTTATAACACAGAACATTTAGAACACAAAAACTTGAATTGCTCTTCTAAAATATTTCTCTAAAATAAAGTGGAGGTGCCAGAATAATCTATCGACGTAAATTGGCAGTAAGAAGCTACTCATGCACATATTTCTAACGAAGGCTTACCGTCTGAGGGCTTTGGGCGTGTCGTGTGCGACGAATGATTTATCGTCATGGAAAGCTGGTTCGTATACCTTCATCGAATTCTCGCATCTGGAGCCTGTCTTTCCGTATGGGCAGTAACAATCGAAGCCTCTTTCGTTCTCCACGCATTTGCCTTCTCCGCAAGCACCTAAAATATTCATACGTTACCAACGGTTCCAACTAATCGATCAATAATTAACTGATCAATCTTTACCTGGATAACAGGTTTGGCCAACGTAGTCGCAGTGTTTTCCACTGTAACCAGCTCGACAAAGGCAGGTGTATCCGTTCTTGGTAGCAGCTTCCTGGCAGACACCTCCATTGTTGCAAGGATTTTCGGCGCAGGTCTCACAGTTAGTGATTCCAACGTTCTTCGCCTGGTTGCCGTTCAAGTCGATTTCTTTTTCACCAATAACCAGTCTGCTGATGCATCCAACGAATCCACTGACTACTTCCGCATGCTTGTTGATGGTGTTATCAGCTGGAACTCCTCCTATGTACATCAGTTCCTTCACGTCTAATCCTTGCTTTCTACCAACTGCAACTCCCTTGTAAGGCCCAGTTCCATCAACCAGCATGCTTCCTTCTTTTCTGTTACGCTGGAGTTTAATCGTGTGCCATTCGCTCAAAGTCACTGGCTTGTCAGCACGAATAACCGTTGGTCCTGATCCAAGGTCGAAGCTGGAAGATATTTTTTAATGTTAAGTTGAAATCATTTTGAGTTGGAAAGAAAATTGCATTGAAAAAAAATTACCTGAAGTGTGGATAACCCCTCACCAAAGACAGCATAACGAAGTCACCATTTCCATGGCTCGATTCATCATTGTAGAGAATGATGCCGTCATAGCTCTCAGGTTTAAATGATATCTCAATGTTGAACTTCAAGTAGCTGTCAGGCAAAGGAGGCAAAGCTATGAAACTCTCTGGTGCTTGACTGAAGTAAGGGACTACCCCTGTCACTACTAGCACTGTTGGTATCTCTATGCTCTCTTGATCATTGTTCGCAGTACAAATATAAGTGCCTGCATCATCTACCTTGACTTTGGTCAGGTTCCATTTACTCTGGAAAAGGTGTGAGATTAGAGTCACATAAATTCCCAATTAATTGATAATACTGTAGGGCATTTTTAAGTGTTTTCCCTATGGTAAAGCTCTACCTCGAAAACTTGGGTGTCGCGTGGTAGAAGTCCTCCAAGCTTGCTCCAGTGGAATTGGAGAGGTGGATCAAGATTAGGTTTGCAGTTCATCTCTATGCTGGATCCATAAGGAGCATATTTGGTTTCAATTGCTGGTGCATCGTTGTGTCCACCTAGAAAAGAAAACACATAATTTAAAGTAGCCCGTCTTTTATTTTATTTCTCTTCATACTCACATTAAGCATAGTTTCGAGAGCATGAACAAAATAAATCAGTCAGTTAATTATTTTATTTAATACTATGACATTAACACGTTGAACATCGCACGATTTCATAGAGCAAAATACATAAAATAAAAAAAATATAGTATTAAATCATTTGATTGAATTGCATAATAATTATTGCACGCTGGTCTAGCTGAATGTTACTACATTAAGTAGCATTATTTATAATATAGAAATGTTTTCAGACAATCATCGTTCGATTGAATGAACTATAGTAATTCGATTTGGTTGGGGGTCACCAGTGTGACCTCCGTGGCATTCAACGTGTTAAATGAACAGTATGAGTAATATCTCCTAAGAAAGAAAAGAAGAGCTGGAATAAAAAATTTTACCATGAACAACGAGATTAAAATCTTGATCGAAGATGCCTTCAGGTGTTTCTGCTGTACACCTGTAGAGTCCACTGTTGTCTACAGTAACACTGGAAAGTCTCAGCGTGTTTCCATATTCCTGAGCATTGGGTGGCAAGCTTAGATGATGTGGTCTAGACCAGTGGTAACGAGGATTATGGGTACCAGTACAAGCACAACGGATGTCAATGGTGTCTCCAATATTCACTGGGTCTTGAGATACTTCTACGCTAACTGCAGGCATGACTGTAGCTAAAATAGAAAGATACCTATTAGCGAACAACTAAGGAACCCTTTCATGTATATACATATGAAAACTGTTTTCCAGTATGCTGTGTTCCATAACCAAGTCATGATAGAACCCTCAATATTCATCACAAATTCACAAGATGGAACAGTGTTGATTGATTCGTGGGTAGGATGACAAAGAAGTAATGTCGTGGACACTGATACAAAAATTGATGAAACAAATTGACAACAGCACACATGATGACACAATCAATGAGACTCTTACTGTCATTGTATATATTGTCTGTCTGTAGATAATTGACACTAAAGATACTAAACGCAGACTTAGTATATTTTAAGTCTGCGTTCTGTGTGAGACAACTGAACAAAGCCGATGTCGATTAATAAGGGAAGAAATGGATTAATCCCAAGAGACGTCACAGGATCACATATATCTCATAACAAACCGCGTCGTTGCTGAAGATAGTGACGGTTTCCCCCAATGTTGTCGGAGTAGTCACTGTTATTGTTGAGGTACCGAACATTGAAGTGGCAAGAGAAATCCAACAGTATGCATCCTTGAACGCCGCATATGCACTCTCTTTGCCCGCAATGCGTTTGGTTCGCTCGTGTGCAATCCGGAGGTATATTAACTACTAAATAACAACGCGACCGCTATAAATCTTCCTTCATTGGCAATGCATGTGGATCAATGATGATTACACGACTGATCGGTGCGTTCTACTACAAAATTCTTCTGCTACCAGATGATTTCGATTTTATAATTACACTGTAAACACTCTCATATGTCAGGTGCTTGATTCCTTAAATATCCTTAATTCTTTTCACCTATAAAACTCGGATTACATCATGTGACTTTACCACTTAAAATGTCTGCGTGGTTTTACGTAAAGCGAGGAAACATTTTAGGTGATAAAGTTAGATGATGCATTCTCCAAGTGTATATACACAGTATTATCTGAGAGAATGCAGCAGCCTGATGATCATCAGAATAAATGAAGTTCGTGTTCATAAAACTTACGGGACACGTTTAGATTTATGTAATCGCTGGAAACTCCATGGACTGTTTGGATTCTGCAGATGTATCTTCCACTGTCCTCTGGTTTGGCTCGTGGCAATTCCAGGTAATCATCCGCTATTCTGGCGTTCGCAGGCAAGCCTTGATTCTCTCTGCTCCAGTGTATGGTAGCTCGTTCTTGCACTAGGCACTGCAGGCGTACCGGTGAACCAGCGTAAGTAACTACGTCCCTTTGAGCCGCTTTGACACCAGCTTCCTCGTACGGGTGTTCTGAAGAAGTCGCAGATACATAATTTTGGATGTAGAACGAATTTAACAATTCAAAAACATTGGCTGCAGTTGGAACGTACCGTTCACCAAAACTTCAGCTACAGCTTCAGCAGTTCCTGCCTCATTGGAAGCTTTGCAAACATACTTTCCAGCATCTGAGTATGTAATTCCATGGAATTGTAAGATGCCATGGTCATGGGAAACACTGTATGGAAGATCTCGACCTATAGCAGCCCATTCGATGCTCATTGGTTCATCCCCTGTCGCGCTACAGACAATAGAGGGATTTTCACCGGGTCCTACGGTTTGTCTAGGTGGATTCAAAACAATCCTAGGTGGTGCTGAAACGATAAATTCAGTTTCGTAAATGCTACTCAGAGAGAAATTTAGGTTTCAAATCTCATGGGTTCCTTACATGATACTTCAAGATGAGACTTTGCCCGGAAAAGAACATTTCCAGCTTGGTCCATGCCTAGGCAGACGTATTCGCCAGCAGCACTTTTGTCTACAGCAGGAATGGTTAAAACTCCATTGTGGACCATGTTGCCTTCCGGCAAGGGACGACGATCACTTCTCTTCCAGTCTAAGTATATGTGGTTTCCACTGGAGACGTACACCTGACAACGCATTTCCACCTTGCCACCATTGGGTATCTTGAAGTACTTGTCTGGAGGATCATAATCAGGAGGAGGTGTGTTCGTATCATCAGTGCAAGGTATGTCTCCTCCGCAAGGTGAATAGACCTCATTGTCCTCGATGTGAATATAGACTCTTTCTTCCGTCATTCCAGCAGCGTTCATGGCGTGGCAGGTGTATGAACCTTCGTCGTTATGTGAGACAGAGAATATTTCATAGACGGCGCTCAACGGATTTTTCTGGTTCATGTCCAATGTAGAGCTGCTGAGGTGAAGAACAAGTGGTTACAAAGGCAGTCCAACGAACCTCATTCTAGCTAACACTATAATTAACTCGAATAGGAAGATCACTTACTAAAACGGCATTCCATTCACATGTTTGCTCCATTCGACGTTCGGCTGCGGGTTACCGGTCGCGCTGCACACCAGCCGCACTTCCTCGCCTCGTTTCACATTTAAGATACCAGATTGGGGCGTAATATTAATCACTGGCAGGGTATGCACCTCTATGTAAGCTATTGCTGAAGTGGAACCAACAGAGTTTGTCGCGGAACAAATATAGGCACCGCCATCAGTGATCGTAATATTGGACAGTCTTAACACTCCGCCAGGAAGTTGCTTGATGTTATTAGCAAATGGTCTGCCATCGTTACGGGACCAGTGTAACTCCGGCGTTGGAGTCCCAGCGACTGCTCTGCACTGTACATCCGCTGATCCTCCCAAAATGACCGCCTGCGTCTCCATAGGGTACAGTTCCAAACGTGGTGCTTCGCGAGCTGTCCCGAGCAATAAGTGATCTCTTAATGTTAACCAGTATTACAGTTCATTTAAAGAACTGTGACTAGACTGAGATAATAAAAGGATTGACACTGAACACGTTCGTGGACGTGAATATAGCATTCGTTTTCATTGTGATGCAAAATTACGTGAATGCTATAACATTGAAGTTTACAAGCCACACTGTCATGAATTGAATTCTATATAGTGTTAACTTTTTAAAATTATCATGCACTTTAACCCTCGTAGTACGACATTTGAATTTTTTCTATTTTCGCGGTTCGTTAAATTTTATACTGTCCGCGAACGTGTTAGTTTAGTAGTCAACTTACGTTCTACTTCAATGATAGCGCTAGCTTCTTGGCTGCCAGTAGGTCCAGACACTTTGCAAACATACACTCCTCGGTCAGAGATTTGTACGTTCACTATTCTTAGACTGTCGCCCACCTGCTGAGTATTGGGACTCATTGCTTCCTGATACTTGTTCCACCTAATCTGCAGACCTGGCTCCCCGCTGGTTAGACAACGCACTTCAGCCACACTGCCTTGCGGGACTGTTTGTTTCTCAGGTTTCACTTTGACCGAGGGCGCTGCTCTCATGGGCTGCACATTAATGTTGATGATGCTGCTAGCTTCAGTTCCAACGAAACTGACGGATGTACAGACATAGATGCCTGAATCGTAAATGCTTGGGTTCATGATGATGAGCACACCGTCGCGTTGCCTGGCAGAGGATGGTAGCGATAAGTTCCCTTCCCTGGTCCAAGTGACGTTAGCGATTAAAGTGGGGGTGCAGGTTATCCTGATCATTTCTCCAACTGTTCCTGTCCATTCTGATGGAGTGATGGTGGGTGGTCTGCCCTTTCCGGGTGGTTTGTTGGGGTTTTCTAAGGACGTAATAATGATTTATAGCGACCATAATGTAAGGATTTTTTAAATTTCAAATGGACGCGGTTACATCGGCATTCGGCATTTCATAATTGACTGATGCCACGGACGTGTCGCTCTTTTATCACTTCCGAACCGGAAGCTGATCTCAACCGAACCTTCTTGAACCTTCTCCGACAATCCGAACCTTTCTCACGATTTTCTTTTCTGACAGTTTCCCCTTCGAACTTGCCGCTTTCGAGCGTCAATGCAGCACGTCGTGGTCATCAGTCATCTCTACTCTATTCTCACTACGTTCACACTACGTTCATATTTGTCCATCTTTACACCACGTTCACACCTGCCTTCTTACAATAAGGTTTTCTGTCTAATAAGATCACTTGTAGTGGTACCTCTAACATAAAGAATGGCGGTCCTCTCGTCCACACCAACGTTGTTCCTAGCAATGCATTTGTACTCAGCTGCATCGTTCCTCGATACCGCTCTCAATGTCCAAACTCCATTCTGTATGATCACTTCAGGGTTCATGCTACCTTGGACGCGAATCCAATCAATTTGAGGCGTTGGATTGCCGCTAGCGTCACAACGGAATTCAGCTGGCTCCCCTTCGGACACTTCTAACGACGGCGGCGCGATTACCGCTCTTGGAGACACTGGGTTTGCACCTTTAGGAAAATTTAGAAGGAATTACTGCTGATCCGCCAATGAGGATTCTGAATTTGTTTCTATAGGTTCACATCATGTACCTGACATCTCTAATAAACTTTTTGGGAAAGCTGCGTCCACGAGAGACAGGAAGAGACAGTTGAATAGAAGGAAGACTTACGGTTAAAGGTGACATTTATTTATCTTACTTCCAACAGTGAGGGTGACGTTCTTGAAGGCAATGTGTACACCGTCGCTGACTTCGCATACGTAAATGCCGCTGTCTGATACTTTAACGTCTCTGATGATGAGGAGACCATGGCTGTCATCGACGCTTCTTCCAGGAGGCAATTGGCCACCTTCTTTCTCCCACTTCACTTGCACGGATTCCTGCCATGAAACAAATGTAGCGTGCGCATGTTTTACTGTAGCACACATTTCGTTTTACACTTAACACATTGAATGCCGTACGATTTCATAGAGCAAATACACAAAATAGAAAAAATATAATATTAAATCATTTGATTGAATTGCATTATTATTGTTACATTTTCATCTAGCCGAATGTCGCCGCATTAGTTAGTATTATTTATAATATAGAAATGTTTTCAAATAATCAACGTTCAATTGAATGAAGTATAGTACTTCGATTTGGTTGGGGGTCACCGGTGACCCTCCACGGCATTCAACGTGTTAAACGTTCACTTACATTGTCCAAAGATCTTCCGGAACAGTGATATCTGACAGTGCTTCCAGTTTTAACGATTTGGAACTCAGGTCCCTTGATGTAGACCACTATCGTTGGTGGAGTGATAGCGGGGTAGGACACAGTAGTCGTTGGAATGGTATGCTCTGCAATGGAATCACACGAACTTATACAGATTGCCACAATGCAACCATAATACACAGAAACATAAAATGGTAACATTCAGGTTACGAAAGAGAAACATCGGTGGAAGAATTTTGGTTTGATCACTTGTCGTACACCAGGATTGATACAATATAAACACTGAATCCATAGTTTGGCGAAGGAAATATCGATGAACGTCAATTTGTGATATTTTCAATATTTAAAAGTATTCCAGACATAGTATTTTGACGACTGTATCACGAATGGCACGGTGATCTTTATTTCCTTCTTCCAACTGTTGATCCAATTAAGCTCCTGCACCCACACGAATGATGTAAGCGCTACTAGACTAGTCGATGATTAACATCATATAGACAATTGGCGTTGGAAGATCTACAAATAGTACATAATTAAGGGAGATGTCTGATGAGGACACTGTGTTAAGAATGGTGACTGAAAACCCATGGTGTCTTCGTTCCCCAATGACGGACAAATACTGAATAGTCCTGTGGTCCGTCAAACCTGGTAAAACCGCTGTCACAACCCTGATCAGTTCCTTGTCGGTATTGTTCTGGATAAAGCACTCCACGTTGCAAGGATCTAGCTGAACGTAAACGTGCCAGGTTCGATATGCTCCATCCTCCGTAGTCACGGTGGGGCCAGGGGCGGTGCTGGTTGCGGTTAAAGGCGCGCCACGGTATGGCGAGAGTTTAAAAGAAATGCGTAATCGTTTCGAAGACTTGTAACTGCAGGTGAACATTATCCACGAGAACGGCTTTACCTCACCCATCATTGGCGTTAGACTTACCATCACTTCACCTAACATTTAATTAGTTATTAATCGAGAAACAAATCAAATCTTTAAGGGGATCTTACAGTTTCTCGGAAGAACCGACTCTTTAGAAAGTATCCTATTGGAAAGTGTCATATTTCAGTAATATCCTCTGAAAATTTCAGAGGAAAATTCGGAATACTTTCGAAGTTATAGACACTATAACATTTAAGAAGAAGGATACTACCGGATGAAGTTTTCATCCAAACTGAAACTACAGACAGCATGCACTGCAGTTTCTGATAAGAAATAAGTCTATCTAGAACAAAATGCCAAATCGACCACGCGGAATTTCGGTCGTGTTATATTAATTTATTAAGTATTAATTAAATTAATTTAACGAGAGGAGAAAGAACTCTTGAGAACGAGATGTATGAGGAGTCGGAAGGAATTTTGTATATAGCAGGCATAGCTGACTAAACGTAAGACTTACATGTGACAATTCGCGTGTCAAAACGCGTTTTTCTTAAAACGTTTTTGTAATCGGCGTGCATGGTAACTTATAAAACATTTAACCAATCGGTCTGAAATTTTAATATGTTCTTCCACACAACAATAGCTTCAGTATAGAGTAGAATAAATAGGATTGGTTAATTTTTTCCTCAATTTTTAACGTTTCTTTTACGAAGAAAATTCTATTTTTGGAGACCACCAATTTTGGAGGTCCATTTTGTAAATTTTTGCTCAAACAAAATAATCCTAGTCTATACTAGGGCCATAGTCATACTTTTTCTAAGGATAATTCTGTTTTTTAGACTTTCCAATAAGCCGCAATCGTGCACGCCAGCAGATCAAATTTTTTAAAATGACCTCCATGAGGCTGCAAAAAGCCCCAATAAAATATCATTTATAAAATTATATAAAAATTTTTTCTTTATTTGAAGACTTAAGGTGTCTGTAAAAAAAATTATGAACTCAAAAAAATGTTTCTTCATTACTTTGTCAGTCCCACAAAAATTGTCAAAATTTTCGACCGAGAAAGTGTAAGGTCCTCTTAATATTTTTGATTTTGAGGTCGTTATTGGGCCTGAAACTGCTCAAATAACTTAGAAACAAACCAGCCGTTTTAGCTCTGAAAATTTCGCTTTACGTACCATCGTCTTGACAATATTGTCCTGTGTATCCTGGCTGGCAGTGGCACTTCACTTGTCCAGTCCTAGAGATCTCGCAGCTCTCTTCATTTCTGTTGCACGGGCACGGCTGACAGGAACCTAAATAGCTAACTGATCGGTCCTCGATGTCTCTGTAGTAGCCTCTGGCGCAGGATTCACAGGATGTCCCGGTGTAGCCGGTCGGACAGCGGCATACTTCCACTTGAACGGCTCTTCTGCTTCCAGGCACTTCTACCGCTGTGTCTAAGCTAATGTCACTGATGTAGGTTGCTGTCATTCGTTCACTGTGCGATGCTCGGACCAGAATTGCTTCAAGATTGGAGAGGACAGTCATGAGGTCTAGACGTGAAGCAACTCTTGGCCCCTCTGTGGTCAGGCGTTTCCATTCTGATTCTCTCAGAGGCACTGAATATGTCTAAGTGAAATAAATGCAATTTAGTTATCACCTGTTGATTATGCGTTATTACTGGAGCTTCAGAATTGCTTAAATACAATTACAATAAGAAAACTGGTGTTGAATAAAAATACTTAGTAACAGAAACAGCTAGATGACACGTGTACTGTGATACCAAGTCATTAACCCTTTGCACTCGAGAGGCGCCTTTCACTCGCCATTTGATTTAACCCAATGAAATTATAAAATTTAAAACTCAATATTAAATTTTCTACAATCTACCAACACATGGAACATCGAAATAAAACAGTTTCATCACTTAATTTATGCAAGGTATTGTTTTATATTAATTGCAAAAAATTCCGTTGATATTTCATCAGAAAATAAGGAATATTTGTTGCGAAAAATATTCTCGAGTGCAAAGGGTTAATATATAATAAGTCACTAATACCATTTGCCTTTGCGATGAAAGAATATTGGTACATAAAACGTTCGAAATTCTCGTGGCAGTCAACGCGTTAACTTAATCAAGAACCTTACGTACCATCGGAACATCAGGTTGTATCTCCACAGGATTCGTCCAGAATAAAGTAATGCCATTTCCAATTAGAATAATATCCTGATCTTTGTAACTCAGGGAATTGGGAGCTGCTGTAATGTGTTGGGTCAGTGTAAGATTGCCACCATAGCTTTTAACCTTGTTACCAGTCAACACTGGCGGAAGGGACCAGAAGAGTCTGCGGCCTCGGCCTGCCGAGTAACGGTAACCGATTTCATTCATGGCAATGTTCAGTTCGAAACCGTCGTCGATCACCTCTTGCCTAGTTCTATGAATGGGAAGCATGTTAGTATCCTGTAAGTCCAGATTCATTGATTTCAAGGTACTCACGCGTCGGTCAGAGTGAAACCATGCTGAACATCGTACACCCAGACAGGTATCTGTTGCGCGTAGAGCGAGCTTTCGTGACACTGATCGGTCACGCCACTGCAGTAACATTCGATACATCCGTCAGGGTTGTCTGCGGACAAGCCAAAGGTGGAAGGTCGACATCTGTTACATTCAGGGCCGTCTACGTTTCGTTTGCAATCGCATCGGTTGCCTATGCAGAAGCTGCTGCGCGAACCAGCTGGATTGCAGTTGCATGGACTTGGTCCTGGGTTTCTGTCGCAATCGTAGGGGGTTCCCCGAGTCGCATCGCCCTCGTAACCTGGTTCACAGACTTCGCAGAAGTCGCCAGTGGTGTGGTGTGCACAATGCTGGAAAGAATGCCCATTCATCGTTAACCCCTTGGCTTACTATTTACTTTCGCCATGAAGCTCGTGTATCGTGTCCATTTGTCTTATTTTCTTTCTGTTTCTTTCTTTGTATACTACTCTTAAGCGACCTAATTGTATATAGATATATTAGATTTCTTTATTATTTATTTCTTCATTTGTATTCGTAATTTCTATTCTAATCGGCGAGGGTCGGAGGTAATAAATTAACTACGCTCCAGAATTCCTTGACAAGAATTAATTAAACATTCTCTATTCACGCGATAACCGCTGGAAGCAACACTCAATGTACCATGCAATACATGGATTCTACTTATTTATTTATTTTTACTCCTGTATTTTATTTTTGTGTTAACTTTATTTTTATTTTTACTGACCGTTTATACTGTTCTTCATTTTCAGTTACCCTTGTATATTATACTTTCTTGTTGTTTAATTATAGAACATTTTCTAGCTATATTAAGTTTAAATATTTATTGTTGAATGACGAATGCTTATTTTGTGATGTAATTTTGTCAAGTTATAAGAATCTAGTCACCCTCGCCATGCAGGCGTATAGTTTGTATTCACCCCCGACCGAATTTTGTAAGGCCGGGGGAACATTTATTGAGAATAAGCGGCTTTTTACTATCGATAATTTGGGAGAAATGCAGCAAAATTGTCCATTCTACTTCAAGTGCAAAGTTTCGTTTGAAGACGATACATTAATGTTATACTAATATATTACATTAATGTTATAATACATTGCTATTAGATAATAGCAACATAGTTGTTTACTTCGATCCGTGGGTAATGAACCAATATCGATTGTTGTTAAGTTAGTCTAGAACCTCGTCATTGTACGGCATGGTGTTAACACATTGCGTACCAAAAACGGGAGATCTCGTTTTTATATAAATACCTACGTATGAAGCTGTACTAATTGTTGCATGATTATGAAAGTAGAAAATTTTATCAGAATCGATTATTTGTTTAAAATATATTAAATTTTTCTACGTTTAGTGATGTAAGTTAACTCTTTTAGTGCCGAGTGAAAAACGAGTGCCTGTGCAAAGATAACCGGACGTATTTACTGTTTAGGAAAAAGTTCATAAAAACCAAACTAAAAATTATATTTCCATAATGCAAAAAGAATTCTTGCAATGAAATTAAACCGTTTATAACGTTTCATAAATTTATTTTGAGATAGAGTTCTCCCGCAATGCAAATAGTAAGACGCTATTGAATGCGGAAGCTACCTAATTGGATCGCTAGCATTTTTCGCAAGTGTTGCGAAAGACGATATATCGTCGTCCAGCACTAAAAGGGTTAATCTCATTGAAAATCGCCAGTCACACAGGCTAGTTTTCTTAAAATTAGCCGGTGCGCAACGCGTTGAGAGAAATCAGGCGTTCAAAGGTACCTCGCATACTCCAGTGTCAGGATTGCAATGGTTGGAGTGACCATTGCAATTGCAAGGTTCGCAAATGCCCAGATAGAGGCCTTCGTTTGCTCTGGTGTATCCCACGTCACAATCTTCGCAGGAGAGACCTTTGTATCCAGGTGGACAGCTACATTCCTCTACCTCTACTGCTCGAGATTTTCCTGTATTATGCTTTTCAGCTGAGTCTAGGGACACTAGAGACAATCTAAGAAGCCAAAGAGATAACCAATAAGAAATCTATCCAATACGTTCCCAATGGATTAATCATTAAATTAAACTACGTACGCAGCTTCGTCGGTGTGGGTTGTGTAAGTAGCCTTGATTCGAATTGCCCTTACGTCAGCCAAAGCCATTAACAAAAGATCTCTCTCAGCTTTAGTTCCATCGTTGCGTTGCCAATATTGTTCTAACAGTGGTACAGTGAATGTTTGCGGTGTGTTCGGTTCGGGGGATTCCCGGGAGAAGTATAACAAATTGATGTCATTAGCCTGTAGAATGAATGGATGGTGTCAATCGGTAATAAATAATCTAGTTCATTTTTTCGATTAAAGAAACTAGTTAATATACTAACGCTAATCAGTTCAACATCAGCTGCATTATTCCTAGAACTTTGACCACCGGGTGCTGGGACATAACGGATAGTATATTTGAGATTTCCACCATAAGATGCAATCTGATCTCCTAAGAAGATATTAGGCAACTGCCAGTAGTAAACATCATTGTTCCCACGATTAGGGAAGTTATCGTAAATGATCTCTCTGCTCCATATGGTGTCTAGACGTATGCCATCGACGATGGGAGGTGCGTCAGGAGTCTTTGACTCGATCAGCGAGAAACCTCTGATAGAGTTGGTGAAAGAGACGCGAATCTACAATACATCGTACGTTAGATTTACTTGTTTCACGGCGATATCACAAATGTAACACTTACTTCACTTCTATACCAGTTGGATGATACACATTTGTTAGTGATACCCATGCAGAAGCAGCTGATACAGCCAAATTGATTCGCCGAGGCCAGATTGAATGTGTTTGCCTTACATTGGTTACAGGTGGGACCAGTTGCAAATTGCTGCAAAAAGGTGCATACAAAACATAGGTTATCCACACGTCCACCTCGAATCTTCCGTTACGCTGTTTCCTCTATTGCACTTACTTCAGGTTTTCCAAGTGAATAAGAATGCATTAACAGTACATTGAACATGTTACGTAATCTCATTGGAAGTGTATAAAGTTAAAGTAAAAGATTCTATTTGATAATTGGAAATCTAGTTAACATATTTCACTGACTCCCTAAAAGTCAAATTAAGTACCTTGCATCGACAGAGTTTAGTCACAGGATCTACGACCGTACTGAGACTGCCATTAGGATCGCAACGCTGCGATGGGATACACATGTCGCCAGGCCTAAGGGGATTACCCTGATACCCTGTGTCGCATTGTTGGCATCTACGACCAATGTATCCAGGTGGGCAGTCGCACGTGGGTTGACCGTCTGAACTCAGATGGCAAGTTCGGGCGAATCTATTTCGAAATGTTCACATAGCTGTAGCTAGAATTTCTTTGATCTGCTTAAGTTTCTATTATGGTGTTACGTACTGGTTGGATGGGTTGGTGAGAGGGCAAGGGCAAACTTGACAAGGAATATTTCTTGACGGGTCTCCGTAGTATCCTGGAGGACAAGGTTGTTCATCTTGGTAGCATTGGCCAAGCCAAGGACCAGTTTCGCGTCTGAGGAATCCAGGAGCGCATTGCTCGCACGATAGGCCACTATATCCTGAGTAATGAGTATTTCACGGTAAGTATTGCATCAAGTTAACCCCTTGTGCTTTATTTCTTAGCCATAATCGATGCAACTATTTTATCGTTAATAATTTATTAGGAAAACGTAGAATTTTTATGCTTATTCTACGCCTACGTTCACTTCAAAGGTTCATGATTACTAATGGAAAAGTAATACTTAATTTATAAAAAATATAAATGAGCTTTCTCAAATTCAGCTTGGAATTTTCGTCACGAGTCTGACGCGATATTCTAGGTAGGGGTTAAATTACAAAATAAAATAACTCTTGTCCACACACCGGAGGGGCATTCGCATTCCTCTACATAAGAAGCGGACCCTAGACCAGTGTTCCGTACATCAGCAGTATCCATTATAACCTTAGTAATGTGAACATCTAAGGGTGAGTCGTCGTACTGTACTCTGCAAAAGAATTGACCGTATAACTTGAAAATATTCCATACGCAGACTTCATTAGTTTCACGTACTTGATCAGAATGTTGTCCACTCTGGCAAGAGTCATCATGATGTCCTCTCTAGTGGCAAGTACTTCACTGAAACCCTGCTTCTTAAACCATTCACCCTGGAAGAATCTAACAGATTCCTCAGATTCGTAATAAGGTGGTACATGTTTGCCCTTGTGCACCAGTACATAATTATTTCCCATGAGGATGACCGCTGGCGCTGAGTTAGGCGTACCAGTACCGTTGTATCTGATTCTGTACTTCAAGTAGCCACCATAAGACTTCAGTTGGCTGCCATGATAGTGCTCCGGCAGTGCGAAATAGGGGATGCTATCATCGGGCCTCTGTCTGATCAATTCGTCATGAGCACCTTCCGCTGTGTACAGGTGAATGCTGTCCGCAGCAGGTCGAGTGACCTCGATTTGCTGGCTACTGACGTCGCTGATAATTCGGATTGCTGGTCGCTGTTCAACGAATACGACTCTGAGATGGTCCAAGGGTGGAGGGATTTTATATGTGAAGAGATTCGCACTTCGGCATTCGGTGGCTACTCCAAAACAGAAGCAAGAGATACACTCGTCCACGGATCTAGCCTCGGAGTTGAACATCCCCTTAGGGCAGATGTCTTGAGGCTTCTCTACCATCACTATAGCGTCTGGCACAGCGAATACGAAACCGGCGATATTTATCCCCTCGCAGGAATATGCTCCTTGGTCCTCTGGCTGGATATCAGGACATGTGAGGGTGCCTGTGCCGTTCACCGATGTCATTGTACATTTTGAGGGTATGTGTCCCCAGTTTAGACGCCAGTTAATCTCCGGAGTGGGCACACCAATTGCTGTGCAAGTGATTATTAGGATTGCCCCACGTTCCAGGGTAATCATCGGAGGAGGCGGCTTAATTATGTACACCGGGGCTGAAAAACAAATATACTGATTGTTCTGCTTTATGTTCACCGTTCGAAGGCTGCGTTGAAGAGTGTTGCGCTTCTTTCGTTTCGATTCGGAAACCGAATTGCGGTTTTGTATTTTTATGTAAAAGAATTCTAAATAGTGCGAACGTCTCGGTTTTCCATTAAGCTGGTAATAACAGAAATGAAAATAGAGAATTAGAAGGAGAACAGTTAAATAAATTAAATTTAACACCAACTGTGCTCTTGTCCAAGCTGGTAATGACAGAAATGAAAATAGAGAATTAGAAGGAAAACAGGTAAATAAATTAAATTTAACACTAACTGTACTTTTCCCACTGTAGCCAGTCAAATAGCTGGCGGCAAAATGGTAAACAAGTTTGATAGTAAATGTTTCTTAGTGGAAATAGAAACGAAAGGAAAGCCACGCTTAGCACTCAAACGATTAACACGTCGACCGCCTCAGTCACCGATCACCGGAGCGTCCTAATTACTTGAAAACAATTACAACAAGAAAACTGAAACCGTATCGGAATATTTAGCTACACAGGTAGCTAAATAATAGTATAACTTAAAAACTACGATACCAAACCATTAATAATTAAATCTAATATAATTTGCCTTTGTTATGATACGATAAGTTATACGAAACGCTCTAAATTCTCATGGTGGTCAACGCGTTAATGCATGGAGAGGATAAACAAAAAAGAAGTCCTTACAACATCCTATCTCATCGGTGCCGTCTATGCAATCTTTCTCGAGGTCACATTGGAAGCTTTTAGGTATACATTGGCCGCTGTTACACGCGAACTCTGTGGAACGACAAGGGGAGCCCGGCCTGCTCACTACGCAATTTTCTTCGTCGCTTCCGTCAGCGCAATCCTTGTCACCGTCGCAACGCCACACTTTGCTCACGCACTCAGTGTTGTTGCACCTGTACTCGTTGGGCTCGCAGCCATGGGGACCTTATCACGAGGACCGTGTTAAACGAAGGAACATGTAAGAATTCAGAAGAAATAAAATGCAACTTACTGCATCGCATTTCGTCTGATCCATCGGTACAGTCTATTCTGCCGTTGCACACGTAGGACTTAGGGATACATTCTCTGTTGTTGCAAGTAGCTTCGTCGTATCCACACGTGTAAGGTTTGCTGGTGGATGGCAGCTCCACTGAAGAGTTTTATTCGTTAGTCTAATAGGTAACTAATAAGCTCCAACTATTATGTGATGCTTACGTTTCTCTACTGTCAGGTATACGGTGACTTGTTGTCCAGAAGTGGATGGAGGATAGCCCACAGCCTCGCAGATGTACGATCCAGAGTGATCCATCTGAATGTTTGGAATCTCCAAGCGTCCATTGATGTCCCGACTGCCAGGAGGTAAGGGAAGATTGTTCCCACGGAGCCAACGTACCCTGGCTCTCATGGGACCTTCGTCACGACATTGGAAGACAACTTCGCGACCTGTTTTATCATGAGAAATTGTATTTCCCTGGAGTGAAGCGTCGTGATTTGCTACTCGTACGTATAATTCGTGAATGAACTCTAACGCATGCATTATTGACGTGTGTGTACGGTGTTTAGTGTAATTAAAGAAACATGTGAACATGAGGTGACCAGTTCTTCGCTGCATTCACTTGTACATACATCGTGTCGGATGTTCTATTAAATTGATAATGCTGAAATATCTCACAAATCATTGAATAAGTAACAAGTTGTTATTGCGTAACATTGTATGAGATACTTCTGTAATTACAGTTAAATGGTACACCCTGTATATTAACTTGCATATGATGTTTGTTCGAATATATTAAACAAACAATTAAAACGTTACCCACCATGTAATGGGAGATAAATTAATTGGTATTAAGCTTTACGCAGACATATGATATACGTATTACCCTGAAAGGTCTTTGAATGAACATAATACTGTTTTTGCGTTATCAATTTTCCCTAGTGGACAATGAGGCATTCCTTAATGGATTGGATAAATATTAATCAAATATTAATATTTTTAATTTTGCTATGTTTAATATAGCATCGCATAGAATTTCTTCTTAAAAAGTCTTACCTTGCTTTGCCGGATCTGGCCAAGGCAAGAAAAATAACGAGAATTTTCATTAATAAATACTTCAATACTATTGTTCAATGTATAATTCAATATCAAAAAGAATAATTGTTTTCTTAAGAATACTGTGTGTTTTCCAATTGTTCTACTTACTTTCTTTTATCACTTGTTCACTGGGATATGTCTTCAAATTGAGATGAGACGATTCCTTAGCTGGATCTGTGAAATAGAGAAGGGAATTATTAATGGGACAGAGTCGAATAAAGAACACAAAATATACGACGGCATGATTTCTCCACTGACCGCAATTTTCTTCATCTGATCTATCTCTACATTCTGGGACTCCATTGCAAATGGAGGACTGAGGAACACAGTCTTTATCTGTAGTACACATGATGTAGCCAGCTGGGCAACGTCCAGGCATTGGATGGTGACCTGGTCGATCTGATAAAACAAACATAAAGGATATTAATCCTTTGCACTCGGAAATATTTCTCGTTATAAATATTTATTATTTTCTGTTGGAATATTGATAATACTGTTCGCGAGTAACATAAAGGAAGATCTTACATAAATTAAGGGTTGGAACTAATTTATTTCTAAGGTTCATATGTTGATACCTAATATAAAATCGAATATAATTTCGGTGTATCGAATCAAATGGCGAACGAGAGTCGCCTCTCGAGTGCAAAGGGTTAACACGAGTCTATTGTGAAACTGTTTAAAATATATTAAAAAAACAAAATTACCGCATCCCTCCTCATCAGAGCCATCAGAACATTCGATGTAAGTATTACACTTTTGATCAGATCTGATGCACTCTCCACTCGTACATTGGAACTGGTCCTTTCCACATCCTAAAATGATAGCACGTATTTCAAAACACAGGAAAATACACGACATACCAATGAAATCATCATGTATATCTGTTGAAAATGTGAACAAGACATAAATGTATATCAACCAGTCATGGAATCAAGAATGGGAATCTATTGTTACCATTTAAACAGTTATCTAAGGATATGTGGGTCACCAAAGTATCTAGAACTAAGAACGTCAGTAAAATAAATCTGCACAGAGAAATAATTCAGGATTTGATGCGTGGCTCTCTCTCTCTCTCTCTCTCTCTCTCTCTCTCTGTGCATTGTGTATAGATATATAAACAATGTTCTACTGTTATCTACAACGCCTATTCAGAATAGGACGAAGTTGTCAAAAAGAAGAACACTCAAGTGACATGCCAACGAACTACCAATTCTATTGTCAAGGTGTCCTTCCTTTCTGAAATCTCTACAAGATACAGGAACCTACTGTTCTCATGCTACAGCAAAATGTATGTATTATCTACGAACAGATATCAGGCAAGGGATGCACTATGTATGATCTAAATATATGATCTAAATATATGATCTGAACGAGTCCTCAAGTTTCTACTCGAGCAACCTAAGTCTATTCGGCTGCTAATACAGACTGAAAGAAAACGTAGATTCCAGAGGATCTGTGGCATTCTGGTCTTAAGGGAAACATCTTAAATAGTTCTACGGACCATATTGTTTAAGTTCCATAAACCAAGAGACAAAGCAACTAACAAATAGCGAATCTCAAATTAGATGATGTGGGAATCGACACCATCAGATCTTCAGGATCTACCAGTGATCTAACCGAAGCAATACTGTTCGTCGGTAAAGTCGCGGCAATCGTAGAAATGGTCGCAGTGGTGGGTTTCAGGGATGCAAGTGCCATCAGCGCAAACAAAATCATCTGGAGCACAACTCCTTTGTGTGCTCTGGTTAGCCGGTGGCTGATAATCCGGCTTGTAACTCTTGCTAGCTTGGTTCTCGTAGGTTAGGCTGTCCGGATTCCCTCTCGAGGAGGTTCTATCCGCATTTCTACCTAGAAGTAACCGAATCTAAACCAGCTTGCCCGCTAAACGCACTCGTTTTTGGTTTGGTCTTTCATTGGGTCCTCGACTCGCCTTTTGGGATTCCCCCTGAACACGAGCAGTTACTTATATCCGCGGTTTCCGGTTTGTTAGGTGCCTCAGTGGATAATATGATTACGTGTGTTCAAAATTGGTGCAATAGAGAATGTGTCCTTTTAGTGTTCAAGAGGTTCCACAGTGATAATGTTTCTTGAATAATCACTTCGCCTGTGTGTATATATCTAACTCTACTTGAGAAACTATGATCGAACATTACAGAATTTAGAGAATTGTGTCTCTGTCAAACAAACACATACGAGAATTCGATCGTGTATGATTATCTAATTAACAAAATTTGCCACTGTGAATCTTCCTATGACTTCAGGTACTAGAAGAAGTTGAAGCAAAACAGTTTCTTAATTATCAAAGTTGCTCTCGATGATCAGGTCATCTGGCAGCGGTATAAAGTGCAGTCAGTGCAACAAAGTTCGTTGCCTCTAGCAGGTGTGCACATTTGTGTCACAGCCAAACATTGTGTACGCACCTGGTGCTTTGCGTGATCTAATGGATCAAAGGTGCAAGATCAAGTGGAGCTTATTTACAGAAAGTGAAAGTGGTCCTGACCAAGTCAGACATTTCCTGGATGTCCCACTGTCCTCAGTGAACATTCAGATTCTGATGACATCTTGCAGGCGTCGCTTTGAAGAGAAATCTCATCAGTTTCAAAGGTGACAATCTTTGAAAATTATCTTTCTATACTGTTAAGAACTGTGCAAGATGTCACCAGAACGATTGAAAGAAGATACCCTTTCTAGCCATGTGTGTTGGAATGATTTCATACTAATATAACATTATAACATTGCTCAATCAATTTATGCTAGTATCCTTTTCTTAGGTTACGTCCACTGTTAACCCCTTGTCCTATTTCTTTCACAACTCTGCCTGATGAATCTACATTATCATTAATAATTTCGTGCAAAAACAAAAGAATTCGTTGTTTATTCTGCGTCTGTATTCTAAAGGTTAAAGACTGATAATAGCCAAATAACATTTCATCTATATGAAAAATAAGTAAATAACATTTAGTTTCGTCGAATTCCTTTGAAAATACTCATCGCGATTCTGATTTGACATTATAGGAGAAGGGGTTAAGTAGTTCTTATCTTTTCGAACGCAGAGTATAATATAATATATAAATATACAGGTACTCGATGTAGAATCATTCCTATAGACATGGCAAGTTCAAACTGTCTGATTCTCCTGGCAGTATTGTCCTTTTCAGGCTTGACTACGTTTCTATAAACAGCGCCTAGGTATGCTTTTCTCACCCTTTTATCCCCAGCCACGTCTGTTCACTCACCTTGAGGACAATTGGATTCATCATCCCTATTAGGACAGTCTACTCTTCTGTCGCAGACGGCGTACTGAGGTATACAGCTACCATCGCTGCAGAGAAACTCGTCCGGCCGACATTTTGCTGGCGTTGGTACCACATGATCTCCATGTCCCGCTGCAATTTCAATTCTTAATGAGAACGATCCAATACTATTAACAAACGATTAGATTAACTCAACTAATCACTCAGCTATATGCTACAGATACGTTAGTTAAAGCTAGGAACTTCAACCGAGCTACATTCAGATTATATTCAAGATGACTGAGCATCATCCAACTAAAACCAGTCAAACTTTCTCAACCATTTCAATTCTAATGCTATTCTGACTTTTCACTGTTGCTTTTACAGTAGGTACTACAAAACTGTTCAAATAAGACGCTCGCGAAGTACAAATGTCTTTGATATGAGAACATCTAAGTATATCTGTGGCAATGGATGTATTTGAGTGTGAGAATAGATGTATTGATGAGTGATGAATGTGTGTGCAATAGATGAATGACGCGACTGTATGCATGAGCGCGTTTCGATTGAATGTTCAAAGCATTGAAATATTCTAGACTAAATTGATTTTCTTTATATTGATTTTTATATTAATAATGTTCGTTTTTTATGAATCTAGAATATTCAAAATACGCGTGAAGTTAGTACATGGTAATGAAAGAATGTTTTAGAAAGTGTGCGAGTGAGATAAGAGCGTCTGAGTGTATAAATAGTGTGTGCGTTGTTTGATTTGCCGATTGTTTCATTGTGAGCTGTGATGAAATAATTATACTGTTTCAAATAAAATTCTCTTCCTCCTACATATCTAATACTCTATTTCAGTAGCATTCCAATGAAAATGGTGCTACTGAGGTATTCGCAGGACAGAGTGTCAAAATTGAAGTCTACCAGAGCCTCTATGCTAAGAGATGCTCAAGCTCAAACGTGTTAGAAGAATTGAAAGTAAAATTGCTCCAGATGCAATGTGTTCTTACGGCAGTCACTCTCGTCGCTGCCATCCAGGCAGTCAGGTCTCTGGTCGCAGAAGAAGTTCTTGTTGATGCAAATGCCATTCTTGCAGGGCAATTCGCCGTCAGGACAATCTGAAAAAATCGCGTTCTAAGATCAGCCGAGGCAGTGACATCTGCGAGAAGCAACCAAAAGACACCCCATAGAGAAGAGAAAAATGGGCAGTGCACACGCCAGTGATTTTAAATGGCGACCAAGGTAACGGGAAGTTTTCTGAGAAATTTTCGAAACGATTTTATTCCTTGGTCCCGTGATGGCTAAATTGAAGGAGAGAAAGAGAGATAGAGAGTGGCTGAATAAGTGGCTGCGATAATTAAGCGATCGATATACTGTCCCACGAGGGACCAAGGGAGGATAAGCTCGTCGAGCAAACAGCGTGCACACTGCCGGATGTCATGCGACGTTTTAAAGGAGACGCGGAGTACGCCGATCATCCCATGGTGAACGTGTTCACCGGTAGCTTTGTCCTGTGGACGGGATAACTGTAGAATTGGAACATCAATTCGAACCGATCCTTTCGAACCCGGAGAACGGAGTCCCGGGAAATCCCGGATTGAATTCGCTGATAATTCGATCTGTGATCTTTTTAGAAAACCCGAAAATTTACTTCGAGAATTTCTCAATGTCTTGGAAATTTTGATGTTCAACTTTTCGATCACTTGTGAACTCGACGCGCAAATTCGTTGACAACTAAAAAATTCGATTTCCGAGTTTCTTGAAAATTCGTTCTGAAAATTTCTTGAAATTTTGAACATTTGAATTTTTAGTTTTTCGGGAACTCGAGAGATTGGCTCTCAAATTTTTTGACAACTCAAGATTTCGATTTTCAAATGTTTTGACAACTCGGAAATTTGATTTCCGAATTTCTCGAAAATTCGGTCTGGAAATTTGTTGAAATATTGAACATGTGAACTTTCAGTTTTTCGGGAACTTGAAAATTTGATTCCCAAATTCCAGTCACTCGGGCCTACAGAAGATTAAATATCAATTACTTAATGAATACAAAAAAATCATTTGTCTATGACTGAGTCTACCAAATATAAATAATATTAATAATATTAAATCATTCGACTGACTTGTATTATTATTATTGTGCATTCATCTAGCAAAATGTTACATTAGGTAGCACTATTTATAATATACAAATGTTTTCAAATAATCGTCGTTTAACTGAGTGAACTTTAGTAATTCGTATTAGAAGGGGGTCACCGGTGACCTCATGGCATTCAACGTGTTAATTGAACTTATAAATAAATAATGAATTAAAAAAAATTACTTAACCCTCTGTAGGCCCACGTAACTTTAAAGTCACATATCAGTATTGGCATTTTGTTGATTTATTTCATTTTGCACTCGAAGTCGTGAATAAAATTAAATAATCAGTTAACTTAAACTTTTAAATTGAGTAACTTGAAAGTTACAAAATACATTCGTTTGATGAAATTACTGAAACTATTGAACACACTACTAATTCGCATTCATATGTGGATATTTATTAATTTTATACTGCACAGATTTTGTTATAATCATGAACAAAAACTCGGCCCGTAAGGGGTTAATAAATAAATAATTTTGATATATCGAATCAAATGGTGACTCCGAGTCACCTCCCGAGTGCAATGGGTTAAAAAATGAACCCCACCGTATGAAACTTCAATGAGTGATGATTTCGAATAATCCGATCGCGCGTTTTCCGTTGTCAATACCGCGAAAAATATTATTGCGGGGCTCGGTTCTCCGCGTCGGGTCGCGCGCGAGCAATTCGTTACCGCTATCTGCGGCCGCGTCATTCGACGCGTTAATCGCGTCGATAATCAGCATTACGCCAAAGGCGTCGCCGCAAACGCTGCCGTACCGAATTGAAGAAGGACGCCGCTATCGGAAGAGTAGCAAGTTACGAAAATTTCTACCGTGCAGCCACGATAACTCCGTGAACTACGTCCTCCCTGGGGAGGCGGTTGGGTGTGTAGTACGTTCTTTCCCAAAAGCTACGGAACACGTTCAAATACGGTATCACAGATAGATCTAGGCAGAAGGAGATGCCTCGTAAATCTAAGACTATATGTATATATATATATATAAATGTATATATATAAATATATGTGTTATACCATAAGACAAAGAGACAGAGAAAAAAAATAGAGATAGATAAACAGAGAGAAAAGTAAAGAAATACCGTGTACCAAGAAGCTCGACGGATAAAAAAAAAATGAAGCTTCTCGGAGACACGGCCTAAACGGTTCCCATTCGAACAGAAGAATCTTGCCGCGCGCGCCGTAGGATGCCGTGCAGCGGGCGGCAAGAATCAAATGCTCCGTTGTCCAGATAATTCTTGCCGCGGTGCCGATGCCAATCATACGGGGCGGTCGGCAAGAATTATTCACCGTGCACAAGGGTAATAGATATTCTTGCACTTGGATCGTGCGCTGTGCAGTGGTGTCTCAACCATTGTTATTCATTGGTGTCGAACAGAACACATGTACAAGTGAGGGAGGGAAAAGAATATGTATATGCTTTTATTCGCAATTCAGTCTTCAGGCAACCTGTGCTGTATCAAGAAATAGAGAGCTTGAAATAAAAACAGTGGGGTATGGGGATGGGAGAGGGGGAGGGGTAGATAGAGAAATAGAGCAAG